CTAGTTGCCATTGCTCATTTTCAGGCAATACATTGGCCGAATATATATGTCACCAAATATATGACATACCCCCTCCATTCCAAAATGACCGTCCTAATTTTATTACAACTTTGTATCAGAGTTAGTACAAAGTTGAGACACTTATTTTAGGACAGAGAAATTTTTTGTTTATGAGTATACAGTAGAAGAATTAAGAAACCACTTGATCCGTATGATAAAAGTGAAAGTCGTTCAATCTGTAGGAAAGAAAATAATCCACTCTTAAACAAATTGTATGTAAAATGTCAATTTGTTGGGTAGTAGCAGGTAGCTAGGGGCGAAATACATGCACACTACACTCTGTTTTTTCAGTCAAAGCCATATTACTATTTGCGGATGTAATTAATTAATTATCAAGATTTTATCAAGTTAACATTTGTAACATGAAGTTAGCACTAACATGGGTGCACACACCCAAATGAAGAGTAGAACGTTCCAAATAGGAAAAAATAAAAATAAAAATTGTGGTCACCAACATGCTCTGTTTTCTCACATGTAAAGTTTCACGAAGAAATGACTTGATATTTCTGACAAATAAAAAGCAAAATCAAACCTCCAAATTGCTTCAAACATGTTTTTCATATCATCGGTTTCTTTTTTTTTTGCCCAAAATACCAAAGATGCAATTTTTTTCATGAAACTTTACACGTGAACAGTACACTTGACCATATTTGCTATATTTTCATTCATAATTGTTTGATGTCTTCTTTTACTATTTTCCCGACTTAAGAATTTCTCTGGAGCGTATACTTGGCCTACTGTTTAGAGCATATACAACACAAAATGCCAAAGAAAGCGAACATAGTCAATCAAGAGAGAGTATTCAATGCCAAAAAACTCGAGAACCAAACCTCAATCTACTAGGGACGCCCCATATGTTCTATTAAAGCGGAATATTCTTCTAGTGGTGAGACATATGTGAATATGTGACGACTTCCTCAATCCATGTGTGTGTATGTGGTCTATGTGTGATGATAGTCGCTCATTGATTCGCCCTCTTCCCTTTGTTGACAAGTGGAGACTTGCCATGAAAGATGCACGACTACTGATTTGATCCAATTGATCGTGATCTTGGCTGAGTTGATGGACGACCGAGGGATGCTCCGACTGTGGTCTTCGTGGAAAGAGCCAGGGGTGGGCGAGCTGGTGCCATGACTCCTCTCATCGAGATTTTTTTCTTAAAGCACTCCTACATTGTTATCTTAAATGCCCTAAATTTATATGTTTGCCCCTCTTCAATGTTTTATTTCTTCCATTGCCCCCCCCCCTTTATATAAGTTTGCTGACTCTGTCTTGGTAGTCTTAGCAGCTAACTCTGGAGGACAACACTGTGGACTCGCTTAGAGTAATGAGTGGAGCAATTGTTGCGACATCTGCCATTAAGACGGTGGCTGAAACACCGGAACATATACGAGGAGAAAACCTGGGATATGTCCTTCACTTGTGGGACCTGGAAATAACAACCTTGTGTCAATTCTTTGTTGAAGGTGTTGTCTTCATGCTAATGCTCCTAGCATTCATTAGTAGGAGCTGATACCCAGGATGAAAATTCTCGTCCTAGACTTTTAAGTTGGAATGGACAATATCGGTGCAAGTGTGTGTTCTCTTCTTGAAGGCATTTACTAAAAAATATGACCACTTAGTTGTAGGCGTCTTTCTTGTCACATCTTGTCATAATAGGTCGATATGTACCATAGCCACTTCAAGTGCTCTATTTATAAGTTGTCTCAAGCACATTGTGTTTCCCATATTTTAAGACTATAGCGGTTGTGTGCACCCTACAATGCACACACCTAGAGGAATTTAATAGTTTTTTTTAGGATTTGGATTCTTAGGATTTTTTCTATGATGGTCGTTTGATTCGTAGGATTGGAATCCTTAAAGTTTTTTTCCATACTATTTATTTGTACTACATTTTCGAGGAAATTTCCATCAACTTAAACCTATTTGTAGGATTCCTTTGTTTTTCCTGTGCTATCAAACATTCTTCCAAATCCCATATGATACAATAGGACATGACACTCTATTCTTACGTTTTTCTGTTCGTGTGTTTTGAGAATCATACGAACCAGAGAAGCCCCAAGAGTTATGACATTCCTTTAGAAAAATACATTTGTCAACACAGTTAAGTAACGTACATCAGTTATAAAGTATCACCTTTAATATTTGACATGCTACATCAATTATTTAACGACAACATGCCACTAGAAAGAAACCTAGAAACTGGATAATAATCTGACTTGCTATTCCTCAATTGTCTAATATTTTTCTCTCCGTTTCGCGGAGATGAAGCAACGCAAGACCGAACCCGAGATAGAGAGGCCACGTCCTCCCAGGTGAGCTAGGATATGGCTAGCCATAGGTGGGGACTATGCGGCCTGCTGCATTGTCCCCAGTGGCAGAGAAACAAAAGTTGATGGGTTCGAGTGCACGATGCGGGGGTCGCCGACGTAGGAGATGGTGGTGGTTTTAAAGGGGTAGTCGGGGATGGTGGCGGTACGGCAGAGGTGGCGACTTGGGAAGGGCGGGGCAGCGAGATGCTGTCCTAGGTGACGACAAATGGCGGTTCGCCCGGTTGCAGCAGTGGGTGTAGATCGCAAGGAGGAGGACGAAGAAAAACACGTGGTCAATCGACTAATGTGAGATTTATTTCCAGGCTACTAACTTTTGGGGTTCTTAGGTTAGTTAAACTTTTTTGGTGATACACAACTAAAATACTAATGTACACATTGACATGATTGCATGGCACAATTTGATTTAACTTTATTTAACAACTACCTATTCACAAGCGCAAGTCATTTTCTCCTGATTCAGGGCAGCCTTTTGACCAGTTCGACGTTAGTGCGTTTACCATGTACTACCTTCGTTCCAAAATATAAAATGTTTTGATAGACCATTTTAGCTTAGCAAAACGTCTTATATTTCAGAACAGAGGTAATAGTTCTTTGAAATTGTCATTTCTCGTGCCTTTTCAAAATAATAATGCCGTACTATGCACTTGACTAGGACACATTTCTATGGATTAATTTTCGTTTGTGCATGAATGGGGAGCATTTACGAGTTGAATTCGGGATTTTATGG